TTAGCACTTAGTTGGATCAAATTTGCATTGAATGCGAACATTAAATGCATATTAGATGGCCCGTTTTTGTGTCAACCAAGTTCATCAATTTAGTTATTAAATAAAATGAAAATTTATCAATTTGCGCACTGTCACGAACATTTGACAGTCATGTGAGTTTTATTGCATACCACCGACAATTTTCGTTTTGGTTTGATAACAGCTGCACTGAGGAAATAAAAACGCTTTATTGTTTTTCGCAATTTATGCATGTCAATTCTTTTTTATCGCCACAATCTCAATCCAATCAGCTGGGAAGAAATATATTACCCAATTAAAAGTTAATTGCTTATTTTAATACGTTTCGAGAAATAAAATATTGGTAAGCATCTTGACTTGGAAGTATATCAATACTTAAATTCTAATTATATTAAAATCAATGCTGTAACTGTTTTACTATATTCTAAATTTCAATGTTTTGAAATGTGATATTCGTCTTGAAAATAAGAGATTTGTAGAACAATTTTAGGATATATTAATATGAAAATACTAAGTTTGTAAACGTGTTTTCTGCGAGTGTCATGTGATACCTAAGGGATAAAAGGCGTTTTAAATTAAAATGCATAGATCAATTAAAACCAATTGTGCTTGTAAATTAAAACCTTTCGCTCCACAATCGACAGCATGGCGTATGAGTGATGTGTGTGAATGAAAAGTGGAAATAAATACCTCTTTGTATACCAGCATTAGGCCTAATTTAAGGTTTCATATTTTCGTTGTTTTCATTTGGGCTGTTGGGAATTGGGCCCTCGAAAAGGGGGCCGCCGCTCAACCGTAACTCCCGACCATCTGTGGAGGACTAAAGCTGATGTTGGTTTAACTGTGGATGCTGTCCCCCTTTCGGCGATTCTGCGCACTGGCTGCTCCAGAAATACTGGGAACACTTTGGATTCAAAACAAAACACTTGAATAACAATTGCTGCCTGTTTTCAGGAACCGATTTCAATGTTTTCCCGAAAATTCACATTCCATATTTTTGAATATAATTAAAAAGTACGGATGTAGGCCTGCTCTTTTCGCCGATTTAATATTCACAAAGCCGTACTTGCACATTAATAAAATAGCAGACAAAGTCGAAAAGTCCTTGCGGCGACGCCACAATGGATTTAAAATGTTAAGCCTGCTGTCGGCGAGCGTGAAAAGTCAACTCTTAAAAATGAAATATTGTTTAGCGCATGAGGGCAAATTGCGGTGCGGTTAAACCTACTCCCCCCCCCACTCGTCGGGCTTCCCCACAGCCACGCCCCCCTCCGATTTAGCCCATGTTTTTGTGTGTGTCCGGCCGTGCGCAATTGTACGATTAGCCTAATGAGGTGTGCAGGGCTCGGAGTCCTGATTGATGGTCCTGATTATTCAGCCTGTCGGGCTTATCCCGACCCACTCAAACATTCAGAGCCCGAGTTGGACCCACGCAGCCAGCAAACAGTTTGTTGCCATGAATTCTATCTGTCCAATCCAAAAGCCAAAATGCGTTTTTAAGCCCTGAATGTCGCCTGTGGCGCTGCATGTGTAAAATTACCCAATTTCAAATGCATTTTGGTGCATTAGGCAGGTGCTGTGTGCAGTAGCAAGGTGGAAATTTACATATTTGCAACGAGTTTTTAGCCCCGCCGCCGGCAGACCGTCAAATATGAGGAGTGTGAAATGGGATACACATAGGTGACTGCCATTATGGCTGCAGCAGCCATCGCTCGAGGGTTGCATTAGCCGAAATATTATAACAGTCCTGCCGGTGCGCCGGCAAATGTGGCTTTCAAAGTGGCAGACGTCAGAGTGCCTGGAGAACATATCGATGCACTTAAGTGTTGCGGGGGAGGGGGGAGAAATGTCGTCCTGCAAATGCCATATTCCCTGCCAAGACCCAATTTAACATGCCATAAATTATGCAATCAAATACTGCCGAATATAAAGGTCAGTCTCCGGGCTTAAAGTTTTGTTTACAGTTTCCGTTGTCCCATGAACTAGCCATAGTTTGGCCTTCAGTTCTCCGAGTGCTGTCCGTCCAATGGGGCGGATGTGTGATATTTTATACATAACTCTTTCAACCTCAATGACGGCTTGTTGCATGCACTGAAAAGGATATAGAGAACGGGAGAAAGGAGAGAGCAGAGAGCAGAATCAGCAGCGACAACACTTCTTGGTGACACATTCATAATCCAGCTTTCTACACGAAAACATCATAAAATATGAACAAACACTTCCGAGACACTGACAAGAAGTTTTAATTGCTTTTCCGCATGCAACTTCTCTCTGGGGTGTGTGTGTGTAATTTTGCAGAGCTTCCCCGGCATTCGATCGAATTGTTTCCCCAGCCTGCAGCCACCAATATAGTATATGGCCACCGAGTCATCTCCCATTCCCATTTTCATTCACATTCACATTCCCATTCCTTGCAACACGCCAACTCGGCAACTTGGCGCACGTGCAGCATTTACGCAGACGTTTTCGAGACTAAATTTTGATGAATACACTTCATGCATAACTGAGCCGGGTGCGACAGGAAGCGGAAGCCCATAAAGTTGACAATGCTTGGGAGCTGTCGCACTTTCTGGAACCCTTTCCTCCCAGCAGCCCAACATCCCAACATCACCCATCGTCCCACACTAGAATCAAATATTTATACCTTAATCAGGTTGCTGCGCCTCGAGGAAAGATAGAGTTAGTGGGAAAACTTTATTGTCAACTTGATAACTTTGGCAGAAAATTTGCTGTTAATTACTCGTGTGCAGGGCTCCCCCGCTTTCGCCAACTTTAGCCCAACTTTCGCCCCCCAGAAACTAACCAGCGCTGACTTTAAGGATTATTTGTGGTTCGGATTTCAACATTTTAATGGCATAATTTTTCATTCAGTGCCAAAGTTCCCTAGCATCCGGGGGAGGATTGGCTCGTTAACACGGCCATAAAGAATTGAATCTAGTTCTGCTCTTGACATTTACGAAGCTCCTGGCTGGGGTTGTCCCGTGTTACATCTCCGACAAGACCCCCTCTTTGGGATCTCCGCCTCGGAACACGTCGTAATCATTTGCACCAGTTGTCTTATCGCTTGAAAGATGGTCGAGAGCAAAGCTTTTTGTACTCGGTTTTAGATGGCAACCCCAAACCTTCAAACCCCTCCCCCCGCCCCCTCCTACAGTGCATTCCGAAATTGTCGGACGTTTGTAAGCAAATAAATGTGGGGAAAATATAATCTCATAAGCTGACGTAGATAAACAACAGTTCAGAAGGCAAACAGCTTTTATTTGATAACCGAATTCAATTGGATGCCAGAGACCATAGCATTTCGGATTTTATTCAACTTTTTATTGCATGCCTCACTAGGTGCGGTCGACTTATGGCCATGGCACGCACTGTGCCGGACCAGCAGCACATTGTTGACTTGCCGTAAAAACACCAGATGGAATGCACGTGAAAACATCAAGAGCGATGCAATTTCGCAAATTGTCTTCAACTGTGCGAATGCATTTCATTCCGTTTTTGCCGCTGCTGCTTAGGCAGCATCTTTCCATCCCCACCCCCCTATCCCGCCCCCTTTGTTTCGCCGGCCTCCGGGCTGTTTAAGAAATCCCACCCAGATGGAGGATGAAGGTTGGAGGAGCAAGGAGCAGGGAGCGAGGTGGAGAGGATGCTGCGAAGGAAACTGTGCCGCAGAATTCATGCAGTTATGCAGGACGAGCACTGCGAGAAGGGCTGTGCGAAAATTAGTCGCTTTATGTGCAGGTTGAGGTCAGCAATTAACGCTCAGAAAGCGGAGCATGTACCGGGCAAAGGAATTTCCGCCAGAAGTGCAAGACGACGCAGAAATGTGCCATCTTCAAAAGCGAGGGTGAGGTTGAGCCAAGAGCTATTCTTGTTTTACTGCCGCAATACACATACAATGTGCCGCGCACATACATATATAGTTGTACTCGTAGTTGGGCACGGAACGCCCGGCCTGGCCAAAAGTAATTTTGGCCAAAATGCTCTTATTGACATAAAATATATCGCATAAATAGGCGGAGTACACAAAACTAACGTAAGGGCTGGCCCTTTAACCGGGAAACTTCGTTAATTGCATTAGCCGCCTGGGTATTCTATTACCGACCTTCATTGGGGCACATCTGCTCCAGATGCGAGAGTTCCTTTGGTTTAATCACAGGGGAAAAGCTGATGGAGTAGTGAAGGAGTCCTTGTGCGAATGTACATACCAAACTTTCCACTTTAAGACCGTTTAACACAGCCAAGAAGTTAACCTTTCTGTAGATATTTAATCGAGGTGTTAACACCGCACGATAACTCAATTTCACATTGGTTGCCTTCTTTTTGGCTTTTGAAGATAATTAAAAGCAACTTAACATTTAAGTTTGAATAATTAACAGCAATGCGTGTGCAATAATAATAAACAATTATTTGAAATAATTGACATATTGTTCACGAAGTATAACAATATTAGCATGGCAAAAATAATGATATATTAAAGTTACGTATCCAGTTTTTGAAGGAACGAAGTAAGCCTATACTGTTTTTTATGATACAATTTATGCAACAAATTGTGTGTTGTATTTCTTGTTTTAAATGCATCCAGTAAAAAATTTAAATAAACGGATATAAACATTTTAAAATAAAGGCCAAGCGTGCTTTTAAATTTATTGCATTAAACACTGACTTCATTTGATTGTTTTACTCACCACACAGAATATTTTCATTTCAAATGTAATATTTAAATATGCATGGCTTCAGTTCATGCTTTAAATCAATTATTCTGTTGTTTTTTCGCTTGCCTGAAAAACTGAAAGGGGAAACCATAGAACTTACTTCCAGTCATAATGTTTTCCCCTTTTATTTTATTACTGGTCAATGATTTCCATGACATGGCAGATTACATGTGTATTCCTACTTTCTGATTACATATAAATAATTTCTTATCTGTGCGATTTAATGGTTAAAGGAATTGGTTAACATTTTACTTCTCCTTATTTTTCTACCCCTTTCGGTTGCTATCAATGTGACTCCCTTGGGGTATAGTTCCCTAGTATGCCAAACAATTTGGTTATCTAAAGAAGAGGATTGTTCCTTCTCGAAGGCATTATGTTTAAGGATACTTTTTGAGTCCACACAAGAAGACGTTTTCCAAACGAAGAGCTCTGCCAGCGGTTTTAAGATCAGAAAATATAGGATCTCCGCTAAAGAGATGACGCTGAAACCCATAAACAAACCCATTACACCACCGACATTGGCTGAAATGAAAAAATATTAATAAATATTAGTTAAACATCTAGTTTAAATTTTAACGATTTGAGCTATCCAATTTGTCTTAAACACTTAAACTATTTCTTATTCCGTTTATTTTTTAATAGAGCTGATTTACTCACATAGAAATTCGGTCAATCCCACATAGGCATTCTTGGTGTTTCCATAGTAGACAGACTCCCGAAAATACACATTAATCACGGCTATATTCTCGCTCAGATAGGACTTGTTCATGCTCTCCACCAGCGCGTTGGCCAGCTGGAAGTTGTTAGAGGCCAGTGGGAAGGCGAAGCCACTGGCCAAGTAGCTCAGATCGAAGCAGCTGGGCAGGCACTGTTGGCGGCACTTAAGCCAACCCGTCCGGAGGGCCGTCCTTTGGGCCCGCCTCACGCATAAGGTGTCCCGCATGCGGCAAGTGGTGGCGTTGCTGTAGATCCGCGGATACTCGAACGGGATGCAGGAACAGGTCTCATACAGATAGGCGGCCAGGCACTCGTTCTCGCAGTTGAGCCGCGTGTAGATCCTGTAGAAGGTCAACTCCTTCTCGTTCTTAAACAGGCACTGCCTTCCATCGCGGGATATCGAACGAATGGCCGGAACTGCCTCGGCTCGAATCATCTCGATGCGGTAATTGGTCTCGTAGCCGATGGCTGTGATCAGGCCAGCCTCCTTCACCATGGGCATCTCAACGGGATTGTGAAAAAAAACCTGAAAACAAAACGATTTTAAAACCAGCTGGACATAAAAAAAATGTTTTTTCTTAGGTTGAATTAATGTTATAAACCAAAAATGGTTCGAACGTTTATTATTACATTTTTATATTAATTGCTATAATAGACTTGCCTTAAAACCAGGTCCATTAGTCGAGGAGCAGTAATATTCGCTTATTTCTGCATCTAGTACAGCAGTGAATCCCAAAGTAATTCCAGTTCCTTAAATAAATTTTAAGGGAGTTTTAAACTTAACTTTCTACTTCACAAACAGATCGCTTACCACTTGATGTGACTGGATAAAACTTTGGAGGTAATTTTTCAGGATAACCTGACTCCGGATCCCACTTGACACTTTCGAAACCATCTGCAGTCGTCACATTTCGACCACTATTTGAACTGTTAACACCAAAACAATTGGATATATCAAAATGCTAAAGACCATATATATTTACTATGACTTGTAGAGATTTTCAAGCGACTGCAAATTAAATACGCAGCACAGTCCCTCGTCCGTCAGGATCTGCTGGAACAGATGCGAACAATTCCGCTCCATGGCACTGAATTTACAGAAGAGCAACATTCTCTCACAGGACTGCGAGTGATTTGAGACGAATTCGGATATTGTCAAGTTGTTCCTGTCCAAATTTGTAACGGTAGGCTCTTCATCAAGCTCATTAGACTGTCAGCTACCGGAGTCGCACAAGAACTTTAAAAGGGCGCTCTCGTTGGAACCCCTGAGAAAAGAATTTAATTTCAAATTGATGGATGGATGTTTAAATCGTTAGAATAACGAACGTACTCTCTGTAATTGGCCACCAGACTCCTTTGCACCTGGTTCATATTGCATATGGTTATAGCCGGGAAGGGTACCTTTAAAATGGAGGTGGCATGTGGGCTGATGCCAATTATCACCGGAGTGCTATCCCACTTGACATAGATATTCGATATAAGGTGTACTGTGATTATAAGAGCAGTTACAAAGGAGCCAAAGAAAAATGATCTGAAATGGGTAGGTAAAATCATGATAAATTAGTTTTCAATTCTAAAAATCTTACAGTCTTAATAGTTATTAAAATTAGTTTTGGTATATCCTTATAATATTCATTTTTCTTTGTAGTAATTAGTTTTCAGTTCTAAAAATCTTACAATCTTAAAAGTTATTAAAATTAATTTTGGTATATCCTTATAATATGCGGATTCCCTCTTCGTTGTAGTCACTACTTATTTATTATTAAAATAATATAATAGATTATTACCTCTCCCAACTGCTGAGATTCGGGTCCCCCACAAATTTGAGGCCATGCAGACCTGTCTCGTTGAGGAATTTCCGCAGACTCCTGACAAAGCTGTTGAAAAGAAATACGGAGGATCCCTGCCTTTCCCGACTGGCTGACACCGAGAGTTCCATTTTTAACTGTATACTTAATGACCCTTGACACCACCATAAATACTTGATATTGCAATCAATCAGATGTCAGCACACGTATTAAATACCCATGTAATTAAGGCTTTACCTTGATTACTGTGATTTGTGACTGAGGGAATCCTTTCAAGTTAATTAAATTCTCAATGTGGCCTTTGCCGTTGGCATTTATATGTACATAAAAGCATGTTACACGCCATCAAGCATACGACATGTGGCCCGACTTGCTAAAATACATGCATTGGCAAAGTATATCAAACTTTAACTTAGTTAGCTTTAGAGTTTATCAAATTATATTGAACTTGGTTAGCTTAAGACTTTATCAAATTAAATTGAACTCATAAAAAACAACATAATCGAGTGCAGTTCAAACTTTTCGCCGCAAAAATTAAATTAGTAAGCTTTTCGCCAGTGCTTGCAAGCTTTTTCCCACGAAAGCTTGATATAAGAAAGCTCTGCCGCACGTGATGACAAAGCGAATCGGTTACTTAGTTAGTTTTAGTTCTCTTTCTCGCATCTCGGCGATCGGACCTCATTTGTTTACCTTGGTCACAGAGATCAGATCATGAGAATCCGTAGCAATCCACTGCCCCGCCGGCTGGTGGATGTCTTGTGCTTTCTGATTATTGCAGTCTTTTTGCCGGTGGTGTTCCTCTTCGAGATTGTGGTGGTGCTGCCCGCTTTCCACGAACCCGGTGGCTTTTTTCACACCTTCACCTTTTTGATGGCCATGTTCCTGGTGTTTAATATCAAGGGAAATATGATTGCCTGCATGATGATCGATACTAGTGTGGATGGTAAGTGATAGCAAACATCTAAAGTGGAATCCATTAAATGCATTACCCTTCTCTAGTGAAAAAGATGGAACCGCCGGCGGAGCATTTGGATTGGCGGGAGTGCGGCGAGTGCCAGCGATTAGCCCCACCCAGATCTTGGCACTGTAAGATCTGCAAGGTTTGCGTACTAAAGCGGGATCACCACTGCCTCTACACGGGCTGCTGCATTGGACTCAGAAACCATCGCTTCTTCATGGGATTCATATTCTACCTATTTGTGGGATCAGTTTACGCCCTGGTTTACAACTCCATATTCATGTGGATCATCCAGGGACACATCTACTGCAACTGGCTAACGCTGCTCAAGCTCACCTGCCCCATGCTGCTCTTGGTGACGGGCAGTTTCTGGAGCAACATGTATCTGCTCTTCTATAGCTTGAATGTTTTAGCCCTGGCTTATGGAGTCCTCCTCTTGGGTTACCATGTGCCCATCGTTTTGAGAGGCGGGGTTTCCGCCGACCGCACAAAGGAGAGCAAGCAAAAGTACGACAGAGGAGTCTACCAAAATCTAAGATGTGTGTTTGGAGACCGCATGCGTATAGCCTGGTTATCTCCACTGATTCGCAGCGATCTGCCGGATGACGGATACCACTGGAGTGCCACTAAGAACATAAAAGACAAAGACTGATTAGGACTTAGAATTAATAAGTGCATGAAGCCCCAACCTGGGAAGCCCGTAGATAAGGACTATGACTTTTGCTACATCTGGCTGCATATATTTTAATCTTAAGGTGGTAAAGTTGTAACCGATTCCACCAGTGAGAATGGATGCCTGGCCTTTCCATTCAATATGACTTTCATCGATGACCAAAATCAGGTTTATGTGGAAACCCGAGTTAGCCTGTATATTTGTAAATACTTTAGTAAATTAGCATTACATGTTATGTGTTTGTACTCCACATCTACATTATCACCACATTTATTGGAATATATTTCAATTTCATAAATAGGAACCGATAAGGAGTGCATTATGCCAAATTGAACGGAGTAGCACATAACTTCCACAGACAGGAATATTGTCAGCAGCCACTGTCCACACATACTGGCCATTTCTGAAGACTAAACAAATCATTGCATGAAACCACACCAGCGCGGGCAAATGCCTATTTCTCTAATTGATTTGACGACTAGGCAAACAAACATACATACATAGATCGATAACGAAATTGATACTTATAATTAATGTATTAAAATCTTCTTTGATGGACCGACCATCGCCGAATTCATCGTTGAGAAACTCCTGATGGTAGCTGGTTATCTTGCCTAGTGACGAGATACTGATGAGCACCAAGTTGGACTGGCCTGGTACTCCATCTCAGTTTCTCGGGTTCACGTCTCGACCAACGCCAAGCGGATAATGAGGAAGGCGATTGGTACCATTCCAATGTCCCTACAGCTCCATTCCCGTGTTGGTCTTCAACTTGCTAGGTCTTTAGACGATCGACCAAAGCATTAGCACTGAGGACTTCACATGCGTATAGTCAGTTACCGGTAAACCAAGGTTCTTGCGTATCAGCCGGTTGATCTCCTTTCTAGTCACCATGGAAATGGATCAGAATCCAAATTTACAGGGCTGCAGCCAGGATGTAGTAGCGACTGCATAATAACATTTATTAGGAGGATACCTGTATATATTTATACCCTTGCAGAGGATATTATAATTTTGGTCAGAAGTTTGTAACGCAGTGAAGGAGACGTTTCCGACCCCATAAAGTATATATATTCTTAATCAGGATCACCTCCTGAGTCGATATAGCCATGTCCGTCTGTCCGTCTGTTTCAATACCGTTTGCGAGCTCAGTTTAAAAGCTAGCGATCTGAAACTTTCACAGTCGTCCTAAAACAAGTGTACGCAGATCAAGTTTGAAAACCGCCCCGATCGAATGTCTATATCCTATAGCTCCCATAGGAACAATCGGATATAACTTGCAAGAATAGAAGATATTTCGCGCAGTGTAAAAGCTATTGACATAAATCTTTCCAAATCTTATTTTTTTATGCGTACCTTGATTAGGGTAAAAGCGCGCGGCGATCGGACGTCTATATCTTATAGCTCCCATAGGAACAATAGGGAAAAATTGATTAAAATTTAATGATTTTTATGATATTTCGCGCAGTATTTAGCCAATTGCCATGAATCTTCCCAAATCGTATTTTTTTATGCATACCTTGATCAGGGTAAAAGCGCGTGACGATCGGACGTTTATATCCTACAGCTCCCATAGGAACAATAGGGTGAAATCGGTCCAAATTTGATGATTATCAGAATATTTCGCGCAGCTACTGACATAAATTTTTCCAAGTCTTATTTATTTACGCATATCTTGATTAGGGTAAAAGCGCTTGCCTATCATACGTCTATTTCTTATAGCTTTCGTAGGAAAAATTGTTAAAGGCTGCGAAAGTATCCCTTTTTTTCTATTTTTATATGACATTTTTGCAGTATAAAAGCAATTGATATGAAAATGCAAATCTAGTTTACTTATGTATACCTTATTCCTTTCGCTTCTTTTTCAGTTTTAGCAATTTTGGCAAAGTCTGCAAGGGTATTAAAACTTCGGCTTCCCGAAGTTAGCTTCCGTCCTCGTTTTTTGTTAAGACAAGTATAAAGGTCTGATTTGTTTCTAGATTTAATTTTTTTGTATTTTGGAGGGAAAGCTATATTTCTACTTTTGGTTAAGGTTAAATAGTCTATTTCCAAGAAGCCTCGACCTCCAAAAATATATAATTTTTAAAGTATATTTAATATTTAAATTTCAGAGTATATGGATTTGGGAATCCTGATTAATACCAAATTCATCATAATTTGCAAAAAGTATTACTTAAGACTGTTTAAGACCGATATTTATTTTCCAATATAAGTTCTTGAACACAAAATATGTAAAATTTTGATGTTTAACATAAAACGGATTGCAACAAAAATTTTGCTTTTAAGCCCCCGTACAAAATCATTGATACGCCACTGCGTTAATGTGCAGTATGTACGCAGCATGTTCTCTTATCAAAGTCTTTAATTATTGTACCCGTTACTCTTACAGTATAGGGTATATTGTATTTGTTGAAAAGTATGTAACAAGTAGCAGGAAGCGTTTCCGACCCTAAAAAGTATATATATTCTTAATCAGGATCAATAGCCGAGTCGATTAAGCCATGCGAATGAAAGTCAAGATCTTGGAATCTATAAGAGCTAGAGATTTGGGATTTATGAAAATTCTAAGAGCGAGAAAACTGAAAGCATTGGGCAGCTCGCTCTCAGCTTGTGATGTTTGCAATGCATATCGGCGGTTTTTTTTAAATTGGTTAGCTGAGTTACGATTATCGTTTAATGTGTCTATATGTACATTGTGAAAAAGAACATATTTTTTTGAATATTTTGAAAGATAACATCCAAAATTCGACATATATAAGTATACATGTATTAAAAAAAAAGATAACATAACATACAATAAATGCGTCAGCATTTTTAAAATATGTACAAGGGCTCAACATCTCATTTCATTTCCCTACGACTTGTTGTGGGTTAAAGACGTCAAAGTCAAGCGCGCGTCTTAAAAAGATAATTCAAACATGTGTCGCCTCCTTTTACTAGTTTATATGACGTTAAAATACCAAAGTGAAGCTTTTAATTTTTCTCCGCATCCGAACCTGGTGATAAATTTCCCTAAGCTTCCAAAAACCCACTTGAAGCAGACGCGAAGCTCCTACTTTGGCTACTCGCTCGTCATCCGTCCCAACAGGTGAGGTTATTAGTTTCGAGCTGTGATTATTGTAAAATTTGATGCAGTGAATGTTTACCAATCAAAGATATTCAAATGATTAAGGCACATTCTAATTTTTATTTCGAAATCAAAATTGGAAAATAAAATGAATATTTATAAATCGTAGGTTTCTTTCTAGTAGTGTCCTGTTCACCGGTGACTGTTTTGTCAGTGTATACAGTTTGCGACAAATAAACTCAGAAACTGTTAATTTAATATTTTTCAATAAATTCCTTTTTTTGTACCGAAAAGATTAAAACAGTATTTATGTTCAAAAACCAAACCCAAACTGTATTGAAGTTTATAGATTTATGTAGCAGAAAGACCGATGTACCAACAAGACTTTAAATATTTTTTCGTTTCGGGGCTATAAAAAATAAATAATAAATTCTCTATCGATTTGAGGTCAATCGTTCGTTAGAAAATAATCAACATTGACTAATGCCAGGCACAGCGTCATTTATTTACCATAACCCTTAGTCGCAAAAGGTGATTCAGTTTTATATTTTATAATATTAATCTCATTTATTACTATTTTTATACCCTTGCAGAGGGTATTATAATTTTGGTCAAAAGTGTGCAACGCAGTGAAGGAGACATCTCCGACCCTATAAAGTATATATATTCTTGATCAGGATCACCTCCTGAGTTGATATAGCCATGTCCGTCTGTCCGTCTGTCTGTTTCTACGCGAACTAGTCTCTCAGTTTTAAAGATATCGAATTGAAACTTTGCACACACCCTTCTTTCCGTTGCACGCAGTATATAAGTCGGAACGGCCGGGATCGGCCGACTATATCCTATAGCTGCCATATAACTGAACGATCGGAAATGCCATAACATTGGTGTTTGTAAAGTTAGGAAGTTGGATTTTTTTATGGATTTTATATTTGGCCAATCAATCCGACCTACCAAATTTCATAAGGATCGGACGACTATATCCTATAGCTGCCATATAACTGATTGATCGGAAATGCCATAACTTTGGTGTTTGTTAGGTTAGGAAGTTGGATTTTTTTATGGATTTTATATTTGGCCAATCAATCCGACCTACCAAATTTCATAAGGATCGGCCGACTATATCCTATAGCTGCCATATAACTGAACGATTGGAAATGCCATAACTTTGGTGTTTTTAAAGTTAGGAAGTTGGGACTTTTTATGAGTATTAAGAATACATCATATGAATAATTTTGGAGAATATAATTTACAGAATATTCTGCAAGGGTATTTCAACTTCGGCTCCGCCCGAAGTTAGCTTTCCTTTCTTGTTTTCAATAATATAGCCAACAACCGCAAAAACACTTTTATGTTCGTTCTGATGATTAAATTAACTTCCCTTAGACTCATGTTTATTTTATGTCGTACCCTAAGCTCCCTTCCACCTTTCGATTCTCACAGAGTTTTTACCAAAAAAAGAAGCCCCGTGCGATCAATATGAATTTTGTTGTTCGGCTATTTTATGGAAAGAAACGTTCTGATCAGCCAATGCAATAAATTTGACTTTCTCAGCCACACTCAGTTGTTGTTTTTTCAGCATAAATGTTAAGGCGCCGTGAAAAAGTCGTGAATAAAGAGTTATAACTAAACATGAAAAATTAAGGAAACATTAACGAGTATCCCAAAAAAAAAATAGACTAGATAAACATAGGACATTACTAAAAGACCTTTTTGTGCGCTTTATCTGTAATCGTAGCATCATCGTAGGAGCTCCTCGGGCTCAATCCACATTGGACTCGCAGAAGACCATCAACGAGACTGGAGCGATTTACAGATGCTCCCTGTCTAGCGGATCCTGCAGCCCGTATGTCCTGGATCCCCTAGGTGATGTTAATGCGCCTGACAAAGGACTAACCTGGGACTCGGACCGCAAGGATTTCCAGTGGCTGGGCGGATCGATGGACGGTGGCACCGGCGATAAGGATAAGCTCATCGTGTGTGCCCCCCGGTTTTACACACCCACTCCTTTAAACTACCTCATGCACGGAGTCTGCTACTGGATACAGAACACAGTGACCGCAAATCCAGTGAACGTCTCTCGCATTTCTCCATTCCGCTCGAAAACCGAGCAGGTGAAAAACAATATCGTCATCTACTACATGGGCCAATTGGGACATAGTGCCCATGTAGCGAATGATGGCAATAACTCCCAGTTCCTGTTCGGAGCCCCAGGCATACGGAATTGGAAGGGATCAGTAGTCCGCTGCCGCCAGGACGGACCTGCACACTATGACGACCAGATCTTTGAGCCGTCGCGTCAGGCCTTTAACAATTACTTTGGCTACGCCTTGAGCTCCGGATACTTTAACAGCGACTCTCCATCCACCCTTCTCTACCTGACCTCGGCACCCAAAGCCAATTCCCTTTCCGGCGAGGTCTATATATTTGATTTTCAAGGAAGGTCAATCCGAAAGTTGCTTTGGTTGCGGGGTGAGCAGTTGGGCGAGTATTTCGGCTACTCCATTCTGGCGGAAGATCTCAATGGAGACGGAAAAACGGACATCATAATCTCAGCGCCGCTTCACGCGCTTAAAAATTCCTACGACACTGGTGCCATTTATGTTTTTATCAACAAGGGTTCAGTGAGTAATAAGAAACAAATCAGGGCTCAATTAAAAATGCCGCCATATCTTTGCAGCTCCACTTTGAACATACAATTGTGCGGTCACCACTGGGCAGCAAGGGCCGTTTCGGAACTACACTTACGCGTCTGGGTGATATCAATCAGGACGGATACAACGGTGGGTTATTTACTATTATTCATTCATCACCGGGAAACTAATACATATTATTATTATATGAACATTCTTCTTCTCTTTTAGACGTGGCCGTTGGAGCTCCCTTTGCCGCAAACGGATCGGTGTTCATCTACCTTGGCAGCGAACATGGATTGCGGGGACAGCCGAGTCAGCGACTGGATGCTCCTGCCCTACAACCTTCAGAGTACGGAGCACACATGTTCGGTCACGGCCTGTCCCGCGGATCGGACATTGATGGGAACGGATTCAACGACTTCGCCATAGGAGCCCCCAATGCGGAGGCCCTATACCTATATCGCGCCTATCCCGTCGTAAAAATATATGCAACAATTAAGACGGAATCGCGGGAAATAAAACAGGAGCAGGAAAAGGTGAAGATCACCGCCTGCTACAGACTGAGTACCACGTCAAAGAATAAGGATGTGCAGCAGCAGGAACTGGACATCCGGATAGCAGTCAACAAGCAGTTGCAGTGGGTTAAGTTGGCCCACACGCAGAGCAACCAGATAAACTTCAAGGCGATAGCGGGTCCTGCCGAGAAATGCCGTGACTTTGATATTCAAGTTCGCTACAGCGGGAAAATTTTTGCTGCCATCGATCTAGAGATGCAATACGAACTGTCCAAGAAGATTCCTGACTCCAGGGGTAAGCTTCAAAGTTTAGGTTTCTAACAAATAAGTTAATAATGAGGTCACCTTCGATAGAGTTTTGTGAAACCTGTGCGATCGTTGATCCGACGGACGCGAAGGTTTCCACGGAGAGGATCATCATCAGCATGGACTGTGCCTCCGATGTTTGTGTCGCTGATCTGCAGATGAGCAGCAAAAATGTGAGGTATGTATCAGTAATATAATATTTCTTGAGAAGGAGGTTTTTAAAAAAATATATCTTTGTCCAAGATAATATATCTAGATTTAAGAAAAAATATTTATTGATTCAATGTCTTATTTTCTATTTTTAAAAAGAAATCACCATTTATTTTCTTCAATTAGCCTTATTTTGATAGTAGATATTATTAATTATTTGTTAGAATTATAATTGATGACGTCCAATTTCAATTGTTGTAGCTCCACTTATATTTTGGGCAGTGCCGAAATCCTACATCTGAGTTATGACATAACCAACAAAGGGGAGACCGCCTACCTCCCCCAATTCAACGTGACCAGCACTTTCCACTTGGCTTTCGCTCAGATTCCTGGAAACTGCAAGGTCGCCGAAGCAGTCATGGTGTGCGACCTGAACGGCGGACGACCGCTGGCCAAAGGTGACAGCGACTCCCTCACCATCAGCTTCGATGGGAGCCAGCTCAGCGGAGAGTCACTGACCATCCTTGCAGAAGTGTTCAGTGCCGGAAACGAGAAGAATACCACAGACAACAAGCAGACCAACGTGATCAGCCTAAAGGAATTCACCGAGATTGATGCCAGCGGGTAAGATTTAATATAAATAGTAGAAATGACTGAAATCTTACTATTGTCAATACTTTTTAGCGTTCAGACAAACGATCAAATTGTTTTCAACCATTACCCTTACTCCGCGGAAGTCATGAACCATTACGAGATCAAGAGTCGCGGTCCCAGTATTATCGAACAGATAACTCTGTCCTTTTATATTCCCATAGCCTATAGGTCGACTGACCCCATAGCAATTACACCCTTAATTAATGTAAGCAGCTTGAATATTAAGGCCACCTACGATTCGCGTCAGTGGCCCATTCGGCTCTATGACCAGAATGGGATTCCCATGGAGAGCTCTATCCAGAGCGGACAGGACCACGACCAGACCACGACTCGAAAGCGAAGGGATCTCAATGGATTGCCTGCCAACCAAGAACAAATAGATAGCATTTTGAATGTAAAGACCCACGATCTGCCTGTGAATCGCACCATTGTTTTCAACTGCCAGGATAGCAACATGACGATCTGCGTCCAAGCCGAGATGAACATCCGATTGAGGCCTGATAAGCCTATTAATGTGAACATAAGCTTCTACGTGGATCTAAGTGAAGTGTCGGGTCCTTGGGAATACTTTGTCTTCCGAACCCATCTAGAGCTGCTTAAAAAGGGCGATCCCGCATCCAGTACGTTTGTGATTAATCGAAAGATCGAACCCAATGTGATATTCAAGCATCTTAAGGATGAACTTCCCATCTGGAAAATAATTTTGTCCTGCATCGGTGGTCTCCTGCTCCTTTCTGCTTTAACCTATGCTCTTTACAGGGTTCGTATGCGAGACATCAGAGAAGGATTTTCTTTTTCATTAATACTGTCTACCTTTTTAGCTCGGATTCTTTAAGCGCACCAAGAGGGACGAGCTGAAGAGGTTAGTTCGACAAAGTTATAGGCAGGAGGTTCCCGTCGACCAGGATTCGGATAGTCTCAACAGCGATACTCTGTCCAAAAGATATAGTACCTAAACACATCGATGAATCATTGGAAGCTCTACTTGAGTTTTACTTATAACTTTTTTAAGGGTTTAAGTTAGTTAGTTGTCCAGCTTTATACGTAGTGTTGATTTTAAAAACGGTTACATTTTCGCATAATAGCTTTTTATTTTATGTTTTCATGCATGCTTTAAAAGATGATTCATTTATTTTGGTTATAATTAACTATTTTAAGACTGTGCGATTTTGCTCAATTTACTAACTTTTCTTTCAAACATCTTTCTTAAATAAAATTATTTATTATTACTTTAAAAAAAACTACATAAAATAATATATTAAAATAGTTAACTCTATACGAAAATTTAAAAACTTTTTAAGAGTATATTAAAGTGGTAACGTATAACTGAAAACGTAATTTAGTTTTGACAGCGAGACCCAAGATGTTTCCTCTTTATTTTAAAGTGTTGACATTATTTTTTGGTATTAGCAGTAGCAAAGTTTTCAACTTTAAAGTTTTTAGTTGCGCCAGCCCTGGTTTGTTATCGATAGCCGCCAAGTGTCGATAGTCAGATCGCAGGTTTCCAGGTCTTATTTAACAAGTTTTCGAGGATTTCTTAATGAAAATGATTCGAAATCGCTTTGGCAACTTGTCGCGCGTCTCCGCCCAGCTGCAGCGCCATGTCCAGCAGATGTCCACGAACGCCGCAGCAGCTCCGGAGGAGGGAGCGGTCATTAATGAGTTCCGAACGGCGGTCACCAATCCCGGCGAGCACTCAGCGCTGCAGGTGGCCAAGTTCTACACCATTCCCGCGGAGCAGAAGAAGCAGATCTTTGCCGGCGGCGGCCTGCCCAAGCAGTACGAGCAGCAGATCAAGACCTTCACGGAGGCCTGTCTGATGGTACGGAATCCTGCCCTGGAACTGCTGCAGTACATTAAGGCCACCGACCTGACCAAGCCGGTGGTACGGTATGTGCTGTACGGAGAGAATGGCACCGGAAAAACCCTGTCAATGGCCCATGTGCTGCACTACGGGGCCCTCAACGACTTCCTGCTGGTCCACGTGCCCTGGGCGCCCAACTGGATGAAGCGGCCCAAGGAGGCTTCTAATGCTGCCGGCCAGGAGGGTATGATTGATCTGCCCTTCGACGCTGCAGCCTGGCTGGTGCACTTCAAGGCCCAGAACAGCCAGTTGCTCCAGCGGCTGCAGCTGAAAACGAGCAAGGAGTACGTGTGGAGCAAGCGCGAGAGCACGCCGGCTGGCTCCTCGCTCATCGAGCTGGTGGAGCACGGGATAGCACGCATCAAGTACGCCTCGGAGACCACGGCGGCGCTCATTGCTGAACTCAAACAGCTCTCCACCGCTGGCCAGTGCAAGGTGATGGTGGCCATCGATGGCTTCAACGCCTTCTTCCACCCGGTGACCCGCATTTTCTCTGATAACAAGCAGCTTGTGACTCCGGATCGGATCACGCTCACCCAGCCCTTCCTCGACATCACCAACTACGACTGGACGAATGGCGTGTGCATTCTGTCCGTGGACAAGATCGCCATGACCGAAGGCCATATGGACTCCCACATGCCGCGCTATCTGCTTGGTCAGGAGGGCTTCGAGCACCTGGATCCCTTCGTGCCCGTCCTCGTGGAGAATTACACGGACAAGGAGTTCCACAGCTACATCAACTACTATCTCGACCGCCACTGGATCAACAAGACGCCGCAGGGATTTGAGGAACAGCTGAAATTCATGAGCAACAAGAACCCCTACTCGTTGATGCAGTTGGTGAGGGCCTTGTAGAGTGTGGGATATCCTGTATTTGTAGGCCAATAAAGTTAATTCAAATGTTAAACACAGAACTGGTGATGGCTTTCTTGCAAACGAAATATGATAAATATTCATGCTATGGTAATAATAGGTTTTGAAACAGTTTAAACCCAATTTCTTGAAAATCTCCCCAGTTCTAACTTTTTTTCATTGCGCACGTGGAAAACATGGCGAATTCAAATTGGAAATTTATTTAACGATAATCAGCAATACATAATAATGCACTGTAAAATATATAGTTTCGTACTTTCACATATGTATATGTTAATGGGGTTTACATGCAGTTTTCAATGTTCGAAATCAAAACAGAATCGGATCGGTCTTAATTTTCGTGTGCTTTGTGGCTTCAAAAGCATTGTCAAAAAAGTTTAGCCAATGTCCATACGGATATGCAGGCAGCACTCTCTCTCTATTTATACGACTATATCTTAGGTTTCGTTCCGGTGTGGGTGTGGATAAACAAAATAATAACTAGGCTGCAATTAACATTTGTCGTCATATTCGTATGTATATTTGCATAATTTCTATTACAATTTTAGTTGCTTTTAACAACAATAACAATTATGTATGTTTGTATGTGTTTGCTTATTCTTCTCTGATCGGATGTGTTTGCTATGTCCGTTGCATTATCGTAGGCGAAGTCGGGGCTTCTGCGCCGATCTATGTGATAGATTCTCGTTTTCGTTTCTAATGTTCATTTGGTTTAAACTTTAAGGTTTTACGTAAATATGCTGATGCTTTGAATATACGTACGCGCGTGTGATCGTGTGGTGTTGCATATGCACTATGTGTTATAAATCATATCGCTTGTATATATGTACTTGTTATATATTATTCATGATCTTTTGCAGTTCGTTTTTCTGTCCTGGCGACGTAACAAATAAAAATAAAAAGCCTCCTCTTCTAAATGTAAACATAATACAAAATGCATTAAAACAAAAAATAAAATAAACTTAAACGCAGAGTTGGAAAAGCAAATGGATTAAGCGACTGCGGGGAGGATACGTATAAGTGTAAACATAAAAGAGATATATATATTCATTGATATAAATTAGATATTGATGAAATCTTTGCATGCGTCAGTGGTAAAATAAAAATGATAATATACGAAAAACAAAACAAGGACATCTGGCTCGAATGGGATCATCCCTGAATACATCCATTCGGTTTGGCCCGATCCAAAATCGAGGCGTTATATTCCTCCTCTCTCTCCTTTTTCGATCTCTCTTTTCCAAATGCTCGCAGGGAATTCACACGGATTCCAAAGTCCCAGATCGCAGACCCTCGTGATCCTTTAAACACAATCTTCGAGGAGTGCTTGCGTGGCTGTGGGTGGTGGGTGTTTGTCTGGTCGGTTGATTGGTTTTGGTTGGGTGGTGTTGTTCATGTTGAGGTGTTCGTCTGTTCCTCGGAGCATTCGACTACTTAGGCTAGTTTTCTTAAACATACATTTACTCATTCGTTTCGTTTTGGTTTTCACCCTGCCGAAATCTTGGTGAAATCAATGCATGACAAGTTTCCAATGTTCTCATAGTTACTACATCTACCTTTGGAGCAGTGTGTGGGTTTGGGTGTTTGAATGGGCATGGCGGATGGGCGTGAATACTTCCGGATGAGGCATTAATGATGGTGAGGAATAGTTGAACAAACAGCGAACGGCAGCGGGCGGTGCATCCTCCCATCTGTATTATTTCTTGACAAACTGATAGGGGGCAGCGGGACGGTAGCGCATATTGGGTGGCACAGCGCCGCCGATGCCACCGCCAGTGGTGGCCACGATGCTATTGGCCATGATCCCGCCACCGCCGGCATTACCCAGCCCGGCATTCCGACCATTGAAGCTGGCTGCACTGACGACCATTCCGGGCGGTGAGGCTCGCACAATCGCCTGTGGTGGCAAGGTGGTGTGCATGGCATTGCCTCGCTGGGCTGCTGTAAAAACGAAAATAGCATCTAGGAAGAATCGAACAAGAGCATCCAGACTCACCTGGCACATAGGGTTTTGGCTGGTGGTACGCATTGTTGTGTGAGCGAAAGTAGACAGTCTCCTCGTTGTGGCGATAGTGTGATTGTTGCTGAAACTTTTGTCTGTCGAGGAAATGGATATTTAGCTTGTCTGATAGAGGACATCCGATTGCGACCCACCTGTAGTTGCCGCCAGAGCGCTGGTTACCATTGCCGTTATTGCTGCCAGATCCAGCTGCTCCGCCATTTCCGTTTCCTCCACCACCACCGCCGCCTCCACCACCCCCTCCTCCGCCGCCACCACTGGCCGCTGCATTCGATTGCTGCTGCAGCTGACGAAGCGTAAGCTTCTTGGCCGCTTCCGGGTCCTCCATGAGTTCGCGGTACTGCTCCTGGCGAATATCGTCATGCTTGTCCGGCGTGAGATAGCGCCGGATTTCGGCCAGGGCGTAGGCCACGCGAGCGTACGCCTCGGCGGGCGGAGCAATGGTGGAGACCTCGACATGCAGCGGAAGATTCAGGTGGGCGTACTTGGCGTCCGCAGAGTTGCGCAGTTCCTCCTCGCGGGCGCGGTCCTTCATCGAAAATCGGCCTAGTATGACGATCTTGCACTGCGTCTCCTCCTGCAGGCGGCGCAGCGAGTTGCCCTTGGGGCCGAGCAATTTGCCCACATAGTTGAACTTCTTGTCCTTGATAGGCACATGCACCTTCTGGGACAACTTTATGGTGCGCTGCTGGTAGACGTCGGCATACTGGTCTCTCGTTGGGATGCGTCCGTTCAGCTGCACACGCTCCAGAGCTGCAAGCCGAAGAGGGAAATGTGCTAATTACCATGAAGTGACCCGGACAAATCAATTACCTTCGTCGATCAGCTTCACCGCCAGGGGGAAGTGGTTCTCCATGCGCGACCGCTCCGTCATGAGCTCCTGCATGTACTTCTGGACCGCTGGCGCCGGTTGGGCCTTCTCGCTGTCCGCATTGGCGTTGTGTTCGTTCTCGTGCTCCCCGTTGCTCGTTCCCCCACTACTGCCGGTGGCCACCACTCCGGCTCCTGACCCGGATCCGGATACTGGCCCGCCTCCTGCTCCGGCAGCCGTGGAAGCCACCGAGGAAGCGGATGGCCCTGGCACACGCAGTCCGTTCTCCGCCATTTGCCCTGCCTTCGGGATCGCTCTATCGTCCTGCAAAATTGCCGAGTCTCTAGTTTTCCGTGCGCGGATTGTGAGCGATCGCTTTTGCTGTCGTTTCGATTTGCTTGCCAAGTGTGCACACTCAGCCTTCCCAGTGGCCCTAATTTTTCTCTCTTTTTCCAAGTGTGTATTTTATTCGGACATTTACTATGTTAGCGGCGCGGTCCGGCAACTCCGGTCTCTTGGGCTGGCTCTCGTGCTTCAGCAGCGTGCTGTTCGGCGGCAATCGGTGGTGCTGTTAAGCGCAAATTGGTGTTATCGGAAGTGTAAGCTGATGATTTTAAAGTCGATAGGTTTGACCAGAGATGCCGAAGTGATGCGGGCCCAGCTATTTCAAGCCATAATTCGTAGTTTTCCCTAATTTTGTATTTTCAACGACATCAGTGTAATCTGTGCTATAATACATTGCATTTCTTTAAGGGTTTCATTATAATGTATATATTTTGAAAAATATTGTTGATTTTTACTTTTTCTTTATATTATTTAAATAATAAGGTTAGGGCGAAGGCTCGGGTAGAGCCTATTTCTATACCCTTGCAGAGTATATATATTCTTGATCAGGATCACCTTCGGCTTACCGAAGTTTACTTCTTTTGTTGTTCAAATAAGAAAATGATGACGTAATTCACACTTAATCACTAATAACTTCTAAAATAGTGGTTCGATGTAGAAAGTTGTTGGAGTGTCAATAGATATTGACCAACCATACTCAACTTGTCTGAATTGAATTTCGAATTACGAATTGTATTCAAATAGCAATCTTTTGAAAAAAATGTGTAATCAGAATCTGCATGTACAATTTTAAATCTCTAGCTCTTATAATTTCTGAGAGCTCAAAGTTCATACGGATGAACAGAGTTATGTAGAATGGCAGTAAAATAAATGTATATCAATAAAAAAATAATTTAAAGCAGATAAGAAAAAATAATTGAAAAACTTGCAAGTATTGCGAAATTACCAAAACTGTATACACATTCTGCAAAAATATCAATTTTACAGAGGTATAATTAAAGCATGTGCTTCAAATTCAAGAGCTTAGGGAGTCTCTATTAGGTCGCCGCCAAACATATTAAACCAAAAAGGTTACATTTTGACTCGTCTGCAAATAACACGTAAAGCCTGTACATTTTGTTTTTATTTAATAAGTATTTTGTTTTTACGATTAAGGAAATTGTTTTAATTTAATAAACAAGTTAATATTCCCTTTTAAAATACTGCAGTTAAATTTTTCTGTTATCTTTCTTAGTTTAGCTGGAATAACGACTTGAACTTTTTTTAGGTAACTGCACGAAATAAGCTGCGATCCACTGTATATGTGTACGTACATACATATGTACATAGATCCAACGCGAGAAAAATTAAAAGTTATAGCAGAAATATGTTATTTAAGTACTCATTATTATAATTTTGGACAAAAGTGTGCAACACAGTGAAGGAGACTTCTCCGACCCTATAAAGTATATACAGTCATGGAAAAAATAATAGAAACGACAATTTTTTTTCGTATTTTTCAAACTTTTCTTCAGTCAATTTTTTATACCCTTGCAGAGGGTATTATAATTTTGGTCAAAAGTGTGCAACGCAGTGAAGGAGACATCTCCGACCCTATAAAGTATATATATTCTTGATCAGGATCACCTCCTGAGTTGATATAGCCATGTCCGTCTGTCCGTCTGTCCGTCTGTCTGTTTCTACGCAAACTAGTCTCTCAGTTTTAAAGCTATCGAGTTGAAACTTTGCACACACCCTTCTTTCCTTTGCACGCAGTATATATGTCGGAACGGCCGGGATCGGCCGACTATATCCTATAGCTGCCATATAACTGATTGATCGGAAATGCCATAACTTTGGTGTTTGTAAAGTTAGGAAGTTGGAAT